CAGCCAGAAGATTCTTAGGAGGTCCGATCTTGCTGTCACGGGGCCGTTCCTCGCCAGCGAGCCCGGCCACCCTGCGGGGAAGGCCGGGGCTGGAGCTGCTCCGGCAGGCTTTTTGGGGAAAAGGCTTCTGACAAACACCGGGCCTGAAGCACTGACGGTTTAAAGTCTCCTCTACACGCAAAGGCCTTCAGCCTTTCCGGGAAGGCCGGTGAGCTTCCTCGGATGGTGTCCGGCTTCGGCGAGCGCGTGACGAGAGGTGCCCCTCAAAACGCAGCACTTGACGGGTGAAGGCGGTTCAGGGTGCTTTTCCCCACCACCATCGCAGGTTACAGCGCCTTTTCCTTCTGTGTCCCAACACCTCTCTTCAGCCTCCTCTTTTAGAATCCTTAACGTTCTGCAACAAGACTTGGATGAGGGGGCCTTTCACAATTTCTGTACCGTCCCTCTAGCCTCCCTCTGCGAGGGGGAAGTATGTAAATTGGTACAGAATGACACAAGAGAAGCCATCATCCGTCCAGCTGCTTTTTTTCCAGTACAGCTGGACGTGCAAGAACTGTCGGGGAGCCTTGCTTGCTGCCCCTTCTCGTTCAAAAGAAGTCACTTCCCCCGCTTCCCTCCTACGAGGGGGGAAACAGTAAATTCACATCATGGAAGGAGCACGTATTTCAGATACTTACCGGTACTGTAAGAAACTGTGTGCAGCATTGTGGGATTACACAGCATATATAAACAATGAGGCCAATTGTGTTAACCGAAAAAAGCTGTTATTCCTCAGTGTCTGGTACCAATCTTCCATAGAAAGAGAAGCGCAATCTTTAAGAGAAACTGCTTTAAATTGTACAACTCTGAGCACAGATTTACATCTGTAAGAAAGCAGAGGTGTACAGGTATCACTGTACATCTTCCTGTTCCTGCATTCTTTAGTGATTTCAGACTTACGGTTTCGTATGAAATACAACAAAACTACACACATTTTAGTGTGACGAGTATTGAAGATCAAATACAAATTCTCTTTAGCGGTCAATAATCTTGGTTCCCATCTCCTGATGTTAGTTAAAGCCTCGTTTGCTAAGTCACGTCAACCTGATTTTAATCTGTTTAATGTTAGTTGTGGTTTAAAAAACAAAACATGACCCTATCACCTTTCAGGCCAAAAGGGATGACTGGCATTTTACTAATCTCATTCTGATCTTTAACTCAAGGAAAAAAAAAAACAACTTCAAAATATACACTGTGAGGTCTTAAAATGTTACTGTGCTTAGCTTTCCTTAAAAAATAATAAATCAACAGTAACAAACCACTAAGGTGTTAATGCATTTTAAGAGTGCAACACATCCAGGTTAAGTTGTAGAGGTCACTAGAGCAGGGGTACTTCGATAGCCACCTCGTGCAACAACTGCGTGCATCACCTTGACGCTGCCATATAAACCATGCAGCGTGGGAAAGAATGAAATGGAAGCTGTTGGCACTGTTTTATCCAGAGAGACAACCGTGTAGTAAATAAAGGGCTGCATTATCCTTTACTGCACACGGACCAGAAAAAGAATACAATTAAGAGTTACCTCCTATGCAAAACTTCTGAAACTTTAATACTTGTTAATTCACCTCTAAACACTTACACATACTTAGCACGAATACACTTTAATGAAAATGGCAAACTGGTAACTAGTGTTCGCAGCCTCTGATGAGCAAAGAGTAAGAGGCTTGAGAAATCACAGTACATTTACAGAAGAAAAAATATTTGCAACTTCAAGTTATTCTACAGGTAATATATTTTTGTAAATATTGTGGCATAACTACAGCAGTCATATCACCTAATAAATTTAAACACATTGCCACCTTGATGTGTCTACAGTAGACACTGAAAACATGAACTTTTTAATATAATTGCTAAATGTATCTCTGTTCTCAAACAGTAACTACGGACAGTTTGCTAAGGCTGTGTGTGTTACCTCCCTCACTCACGGCAGTGGTACGTTAAAATATGGATTAGATGTTTACTAATAACTAGCACTAAGTTGAGGTAACAGGTAAGAAGAACAGTAGCATCAGCATACTGTTTACTAATTGGCATTTGCTTATCAGACCATAAAAAACAGATACTGGTTTATTGTCTTAGTTTACATTTGGGCAATGGCATAAATTAGAAAACTTCAATTTGGAAAAGTCCTACATTAAAGAGATACTACCTCTAAACCCTTCAAGATGATAGTCTTAGTAGTCATGTTAGTCATTTTAAGACACATGTATGATTTCTACAGCTCAGGAAATAAACTAACTGTTGCCTCCAAGGCTGCCTCAACATGTTTTCTACTATAAGCAGAGGAAATAAACATTTAACTGAAAAATACGATGGACGTGGTAGAGAAGACTCAGCCGAAGGAAAGCATTACTAATTGCGCTACTGCATTTCAGTTTGGGTGGCAGGGAGGAAGGAGGTGTTAAATAACAAGGTTTCAGAACACGTAGCACAACTGGTAGCTCTCAGGTTGATCCCTGGTTGGATATTCGTGTTGCACAATTTCTACATAGGTCGTTTGGGTTTTTTTCTTAGGAATTGACAGACCTATGCTCTCAGGTGTCCGCTTGACCAGACTGCTATCCATCAAATTCTGGAGGTGCCTCTTGTCTTCTTCCACGCAGGTTACCAGAATGATCTTTTTTCTTCTGCTCTTTCCCAGGTGCGTTTCAGAAGATACACGGCAGCATGAAGTCCCCCTACGTTCACCCACACAGTCTGACCTTTGCGCCAGATGTGTCCCATTCGTGACAAGGCCTACAACGCAAGAAACCAGACAGAGTGGTGGCAGCTTCAAGGTGAGACAGTAAGGGTAAATTTCCTTTAGAAATTATTTTTGATTATTCTAAATCACATCTGATGGCAACATCAAATGACTCTTCAGGTCCAACACCGCGTTTAAATGTTACTAATTACTGCTCTAAAAATAGATCATCTTCTGTAGTGAAGCCAGATTACCATTTTTTCCTCAATATATTTTCAAGTGTAAATAGGTTTGACTTTCTCTCGCAGAACATACCTTGGCAAAGCATTTCTTGTCCTGCGTAAGCAGCACAGCCCTGCCTGTCCCCGGTGTGCAGATCCGGCCCATCTCCATAAGGCAGGCTGGATAGAGATCCCAGTTCTTCTTCTTTGACCCTATCCTGCAAAATAAATTAAGATCCCCTTTGTGATAACTGAAAAATAGTTAACTGCTGTTGGTCTTTCAGACGTGGATTAGCTCATTCAGGACATGTACTATTAATTTCAACCTGCATTTTTAATATAGAGTACATCAATACTTCTTCATTAGGCCCAGTTAAGTAAGTAACTAGAGAGAACCCTGGCCCTGGGCAGGCAAGCACATGCAGTCGCGGCAGTTAAGCGCAGTAACTTTACCAGTGATACCTCACCTCTTTCCAAAAGGCATGTCTGACACAATGATGTCCACAGAACCAGTCCGCAAAGGGAGATTGCAAATATCCCACTGAACGATGTCTAAGGGTATGCCCAGGGAAGTACTGCTGCAAGTGCAAAGATGTTTATCTCAGACACGGTTTACGGAGAATATTTTTAAATTGAGGAGGCCCATAATGTTAGCAAAAGAATAAACAGGAGAATACGAACAAGAGAGTCAAATGCATCAAGGCAAAACGGATTTCTTTACATACAATACTACAGGAAAAGAAAACCACTCGTACTCTTCTTACCTTTCCTTATTCTCATTTTTCTTTAGTAAAGAACAGATGTTGTTCGCTGCTCTCTTTACAGCTTGTGGGTTGTTATCACCAGCAATATGGTAGCAGCTAGGCCATTCTGTAGCTCCCTGGGGGGAAATATTGATAATAAGCAACATTAGCATCAACATTACCTAATTTAAAGCAAAACAAACAGAAGAATTACTCAAATATGACAGAATACAACAAAACAACTGGAAGTGGATGCCAATGATTTTAAAGTTCTGTAACAGGTATCTGTTATAGGTACTATGCGCCTTAAAAAGCTCGAAATACTTTTGGGTTTAGTTTCTTCCTGCTACAGCTTTGGGAAGGAAAATGAGGTCATTTACAAAAAGTGTATTTGTATCTGTGTAAAAGCTGGGGAGATACTTTTGGAGTTTGCTATTCAGTTATTACCAAGAAAACTTACGCGTATTATTCAGTTGCAGATACTGTCAAGTTTTAGTAAGTTAAAAAATAAAGGAAGAATCACCTCTATTGGTATTGCACCTGTACCACACATGGGATCAACTATGATATCCGTTGGCTGTGGATCACAGAGTCTGAGGAACAGAAAAAGAGATGTAGGGAGAAAAGTCTTAAAAATGTGAATTTCTGTAGGGAAGCAAAACTGAACCATTTTAATCACTCTGATTCTACCCTTCTAACAGAAAAACTTCTATGTGATTATTTTTTCCATCCGTTAATTAGCATTTTATAAGCGGCAATACAGTGAAATACTTTCAAGAATGTGGTACAGTATTTTGAAAATTGGCTAACACAGCAAACGTTTACTTTACTTAGCTGGAAAACATTCACTGCTAATTACAAAGCACACTGTTTCAGCAACTATGCTTTTTTTTTTCTTTTTCTTTTTTAAAAAATTAACAGTGGTTTTTTTTTTTTTTTTTTTTTTAAAAAATAACAGGAAAAACTTTTGGGGAAAGGGGGGGGGGGGGGATAAAGGATCTAATTTCTGAAACAAAATGACTTGTTAACTGAGAATAATATAATGCTATGCAATTGCACTGACCTAAGCATGCCATAAGCGAGAGTTGAACGGAGAGTCGTGGGTCCAAAATGTGTAATGTTCCTTCTGTGAAGGCTCTCTTCAGTTAATGCAATACCCACAACTACTTCATTATTGTGAATATTCAGAAGAACCTAAAGAAAAAACGTGAACTAAATTTCAGGAGTAACAGAAGTTTTCCATAGTATGCCTGGTAAGTATTTATGAGAATCTTAGATGGTAACTTAAAAACCAGGAACTACGTATAAAAGAGCGTTCTTGGAAGAAAAGCAACGCACCATTTTAATGGCAACAACGGACAAAATTCAGGAGAGCGTTCACACATTTTTCTCATTCACACAGAATCTTTTACACAAGACTTCAAAAAGTGCTGTCGCCATTATGCCGACTTTTAAAAAGCTTTGTTTTCTAAGTATGGGGGAGAAGTCAGGTCAGCCCTGCAAGTCACAGGGAAGCATCTGCAAAGCAGCAATAAAAATCATATTCCTGGTCCCCTCCACCATGTTAATTTGGAAGGTGAAAATATTGTTACAGAACAGTGGGCCAGCCCTTAACAGACGTGCAAGAAAAACTTAGTTTTTCTGCCCCTCAAAAATGGTGGTCCCTCACCACTGATGGATCACGTCTGCTGGTCGCCCTTTCCAAATCTCTGCTTTCCCCATGGTAAGAAATGTACACTGGACAGTTAACGTTAACCCTTTTTGTCCCCTTCACCCATAAAACTACAGCTTCTAGGTGGAATATCTTCTGTTAACTTACACCGATATAAAACAATGGATTAAGGAAAGATTTAACGAGGGTAGAAGTACAGCAGAAGGCGCCTACATTATATTTAAATACGAACGAGACCAAACACTACAGGAGGAGGGACTGCTTGGTACCAGAGCTTTCGCTGCGGTTGAGGGAGAGCGGAAAGCTTTTGGGCACCAGCTCGGCTTCACTGGGTGTAGTGATGTTT